CTGAAGATTTTAAGCAGAGCAGTGAAATGCTCAGATCTGCATTTCTGAAAGATCCTATTCCAGTTTGGAGAAAGGACTGGGCAAGGGCGAGGCAAACCGGAAGCACGGTCTTTGTGGGACCTGAACTACAGTACAGTGGGGTGAAGATGAAAGGACATAGAAGGGATATGAAGGGAGCAAATCTCCAGGCCTTGGTGACTAATGGGATGTAAGGCAGCAGTGAGGCCCAACTCCAGATGATGCCAGTTTTCCAGGCTGGGAGTCTGGTGAGTGGAGGTTCCATGTGCTGAGGCAGGTAGCTCAGAGCACTTTTAGGAAGGAGGCAAAGAAACAGCAATCAGAGGGGTGGGTGGAGGACTCATTAGCCTGTGCTTAATGCATCGGCTGAACCATTCAGTCATTTGTTCAAACGCTGCTCACTGAGGAACTGCTGAGTGCCAGACAGATCCAGATACACGGAGACATAGACAAATAGTCACACACACTGCCCCATCCACACTGATGGTGATAATAAAGAGTGAGGTGCTAGGTGGAGGTGCACAGAGCACTAAGGTGCCAACAGCGAGGTGCATAAACCAGGGCAGGGGCAGGGCAGAGAAACCTAGAAGAGGGAAGCCTGAGTCACAGCCCAGAGGTGGGGGTGCAGGGGGGAAAGGAAGGGAGAAGGGAGAAAGGTGAGTTTTACAGAAGAACCACACAAGCCCTACCAGAGTTTAGATTGTATCCTGAAGGCACCAGGGAACCATTAAAAGGTTTTAACCTAGGCGCAACATGGTGACACAGATGCTTTAGAATGATGACTAGGTGAGTTATAGGGTAAAGATAAGAGACTGGAGATGGGGAGTTGGCTAAGAGGCTGCTGTAGCAATCCAGGCAAGATCTAAGAGGGCCTGAGCGAAGACAGTGAGGCCAGTGAAGCAAGGACACACACGAGGGTGGATTGCACAGGGCTGAGAGAAAGCAGTAATGAGGAGCCTAAGCAGGTGGCAGGGCTGCTCTCAGAGCAGGAAGAGCCAGGTCAGACCATGGGCAGGAGTCACTCCCCAAGCCAGAAAAGCTGGTGATGGGTGAGGGTCCTGTCTTGCTCTGCAGAGTGGAAGGTGATGAGAGGCCCTCATGAGCAAGAGGCAAGAACAGAGCTGGTCACCTGCTCGGTGCAAGCGGGGAGCCCCAGCAGTGGCCCCACGGCTGGACCTTCGCCTGCCCTGCCCACGCTCTGGGCCTCTTCCCAGGAGGGCTCCCTCTGCTAACAAAGGTTCTTTCCAGGCTGGAAAGTCTGAAGGAGATGATTACAGAGGGAGGCCATCTCAGGAGCCAAGGTATATGGGGCACACATGCCACATACAGGGGTGGCAGGCGGAGCAGCTGCCCCGGGCACAGCCACTGCCCTGCCCTTTGAATTGTGTGCGCCCCTGCAAGCCTGAGCCCAGGCTTGGAGCGGGGGTGAAGGGGGATGACAGGCAACCTGAGGAGCAGGAAGGGGCTTACGCACGGAAGAGGTACACGTGCTGCAGAAGGAGACTGGGCTGTATGGTCTCAGCATATGCCAGGTGTGGGAGATACTGCAGTGGCCTGAGGGGCAGGAGGTGTCCAGCTGTCAGGGGCCTGGGGCCTGGGGGCAGGAGTTGCAGGGGTACTATGTGAGGGAGCTGTGCACTGCTGACCCACCTGGCAGAGGCAGCGAAGGCTGGACAGTGTAGGATTGCTGAGAGAAAGGTTTCACACTGTGGGAGATAAGGGAAAGGAGGTATAAGGCTTGGGCAGGGTACGGCTCCAGATCCTCAAGCAGCGTCCATAGCTCTCTGGGCGCAGGTCCTGGGGGTCTGGCCATCAGGGTCTTGGTGGGCTTTGGCCTCCCACTCCATCCCATGCCAACTCCCTCAGGTTTCATGGCTGATCCACAGAAGCAGCATATCTGTTGGAAAAACCCACCTCTCCCAGGCCAGCCAGAGGCCTGGTTCCTACCCTATTTCCCTTGGGGTCCCAAGTTCTGGCCCTGTTACAGCCTGGACTAGTATTTTGGCAAATGCCACTCAGGGTATCCATACTGCTGACTGAGCTGCTGCCAAGAGCAGAAGCCAATCCCCAAGTTTAAGGCGGACCCCAGACTGCGGCCCTGTCCCACCCTGGGGGCCAGGCTCAACTGCATCAGGTTATGGGCTCGAGTTCAGTTCAGGGACTAACTGGTAGCAGACCATACTCACTCATGGGATGTTCCGGCTTGGCCTGGCAAAGCTCCTTGCCAAAACTGAGGAGGCAAAAAGCGCAGAGTCAGCATAGCCTATGTGCACGTGGGCCCATGGTGTGGGGAAACAGTGTAGTGGCCTCAGCTGGAAGGTGAGGCTGGAGCCTGGACCAGTGAGCGGCAGTGAGAGACTTAATGCTACTGTCTAAGTACTTGGTGACGGCAGCATCCCAAAGTGTTTCAAGTGTTTCTAGTCTCTGGACATGCTCAGTTGCTAAGGGGCCGCATGGGAAAAACACTCAGGTTTGGTAAACACAGCATCTCCTATTCCTCCCTTAGAGATGACCCACAGGACACAGCAGCACATAAGGCTCTGAAGAGTCCTAGAGTCAAGAAACCTATTTAGTTCTAAGTGCCCCAACCTCACTTATGCATAGAATCACTTTGTGCCATATCTGTTTAACCTCCTATGGACTAGTGCTCTCTGGAATACACTTTGAAAAAATGCTGGACAAGAGGCTCACTGAGCGCAGAGCCTGTCACTGCCACAAAGGCCAGGTGCTGCAGGTACATCTTGAAGACTCATTTAGTCCCTACAGCCAAGAAAACCCTGTGAGGACACAGCCCTAGAAAGGAGGAGCCTTTCTGGACCATTCTCAAAGTGTGAGCAACACGGCCATGCCCAAGGGGCCAGTTCTTAGGCTGAGACATTTAGAATTTGAACGCAAGTGTGTTCCTGGACATCAGCCCTCCAGCTGGAAGGAGAACGGTGCTGAGCACCTGAGGGATGGGAGCGGATGAGGCCAAGTGACGGGGCTGCTCAGGGACATGTTTAGCGCTTTACCAAAGCCTCAGCTTAAGCCCTCATCCCCAGGACTTCAGCTTCTCTATCTTTAAATTGGGCCAACTCTGTAGAGCTTCTCTGGTTGTCAGCAAATAGGGTCAGCTTTGTCCCTCATGAAAGGTCTGCTGCAACCTTGCCAAGGTTCCCAGGAAGGTAGTTCCAATACTAGCTGGGCCATGACCCAGTACGGCCCCTCAGCCCTTGGTCCCTCCTTCCCCCTGGCTATCCTGGCCTGTGAGGACTCAAGGTAGAGAAATCTGGTCTGGCCAGTGCTTCTGGCCCTGCAGAGGGGGGTGGAGCGAGAAGGAGAGGGCTGGTTTGGCCTCTGGCTCCGGGCAGCCCCACTTACCCCTGAGACTGCTGGGCAGCCAGGGCCCCGAGCGAGGGCCATTTTACTGTGGAAGGCTGTGGCGGAGATGATCTGGGCGGACGACATGGCAGCCATGCTCTGCAGGGCCTTGTCCTTAGCTGCCTGATCCTGGGGGAAGACAGTGGAAGGGACGACCTCAGCAGTGGTCACTCTGGCAGGCTGAGGGAAGGCAGGGCGGGCTTGTGGTCAGGGAAGCTGTCCCACTGCCAGTCGCCAGAGCCCTGGACTAGGCCCCAGGGGACCAGGTTTATGTCCTTACAATGCTATCTATTACTCTGTTTTGTGAACGAGCAAATCACATGGTTTCTCGGATCAGTTTCCTCATCTGTCAAAAAGGCATAATACTTGCCCCGCCTATTTTTTCAGAGCTTAAAAAGACTTTGGAGACCATTTGCCAGACCATCTTTCAATTTACTAACCACGGGGACACTCTGAGAACCGGGACCTTTCATTTATTCTTTAGGTTAAAAAATTTTTATTATTAAAGTATAGTTAGCATACAATAGTATATTAGTTTCAGATGTGCAACAGTGATTTGACATTTATATGGCTTTACGATGTGATCTACACAGTAAGTCTAGTAACCATCTGTCGCCACGCAGTTACCACAATATTACTGACTATATTCCCTGTGCTATACACTACATTTACTTTTTTTTACAGCTGGAAGTTTGTACTTTATATTCCCCTTCACCTTTTTCACCCATCCCCCTAACCCCCTCCCCTCTGGTGACCTCCAGTGGAGAACAGGGACATTTTAGAGCGTGCTCACCTCTACTCTACTGGTGGCTGGCGTGGCACTGGCTCATGGCAGGTGCCACATCGCTATTTGTCAGATCCCCCATGAATGGGCAGGGAGGAGGTCGTCCTTGGTTTGGACTGTTTGGAGGCACAGGGTGGTCTCCTGTGGCCCCTCCTGCCCCATTGCTGCACTATGGGTCTCCCCAACACTCTGGGTGCCTGCAGCACTCCCTAACTTTTACAGGTTAGAATGTTAACACTGGCTGTCTGTGCACCATGGGCCCAGCACGAAGAATGGATTCACCCCACACAGGCTCTGAATAAACTAGCACTTAAGACACTGGTAATGATAATAATAGTACTAATAATTTTTTACACTTGTATAAGCTAGTAGTTCCCACCCTGAGCTCCCCAATCCCAAAAGTCTTCAAAACCAATGAGGCAACATTCTGTATTCAAAAAATCTATTAGGAATTGCGTCTTTGTCCAAAACAAGGCTGGAACAGCAAGTATTGTTCGGTGTGTATAATTTCATTGGGGCTAAAAGGTTAGATCATGTCAACTCAGGAGCTCTAATTAGAAATTCTATCTTTTTAATGGGGAAAATAAATAAGACATTATTTAATACTTAACTTGGTAAACCCAGACCTGTCCTGCGTGACAGACAAGTTGAGAACTAATGGAGGTCCCTGCAGCTTACAGAAGCTTTTGTACAATGATTTCACTAGAACTCACACAGCCCTGTGAGGTAGGCATCACCATGGCATTAGGCTCTGAAGGTCCCAGGTGGTCCACCTAGCATGTTGGCACCGTACAGTTGTGGCACCAGAACACAACAGGTCCTTCTGCTGGGCTGCTCAGTAACCATTTACAATCATGTGATACAAGACAGCCCTCAGAGGGTCGAGCACACTATCTCTTCAAAGCACTCCTGTGAGGCTGGCAGAACCAGCTGGATTCCCATTTTAAGATGAAGAAACAGGCTCAGAGAATTCGAGTAACTAGGGTTCTGATGGTAGTGATGGTCAGCCCGGCGAGCTTGGTCCAGGTTGTCACATCAACTCACTTCTGGGCCTCTGCAGGCCCAAAAGGGCCAAACAAACCAGGATGGGGGTATGTCAGGATTTGACAGCATAGTATATACCACAGAGGGCATAGGACACCATTCCGAGGAGTGGAGTCATCCCCAATCCACTGTCCTTTTGGGGTGAAACTTGGGCCTTGCTCTCAGAGGCTGTCTCTGATAACCAGAGTGAGCTATCAGCGTAAGATGTTCCTCTTCCCGAGGACACTTACAGTGTTTAGAGAAAAAATCCGAACTTGCCCAGGCCAGCTGGCCCAGGCTCTCTTCGTCCTGGAGGACATGGAGGATGCAGCAGGACGTACCCCAGAAAGCCTGCAGACTCTGGGGTTACAACTGCGTCATGAGGCCAGAGAGCTCCGTCCGCTCAATGCCAGCAACTGGTGTTCCTTCCTGGAGAGCTGATCTAAACAAGCCATTGGGGCTCAGAAAACCACGTCCTCAGCGGATAAAACAGAAATCAGGGGAAGAGGGAAGGATATTATGGGGAGTGACATCAGCAGCCAGGCTACAGAGCAAGGTAGTCACTGAATTTTGAAGCTGGAGAAAACCTCTGATTATCACCTGGCTTAACCCTGTCATTTATAGATGGGGAGACGAGAAGGGGCAGCGACTCACCAAGCTCACACAGTACAAAGGCAGAGCCAGCCCAGACCGAGCCAGGGACATGGAGAACTTCTACCTGACCTTGTTTTGAGACCCCTTTAAGAACGATGAAATCCTCAGATCAATCTCCTCCGAAAAACAAATATATATGAAAATCTCCATATTATTTAAGGGGTTCATGGCTCCCCTTGATGTCTGTCCAACAGTCCACTGAAGGCTGTCCCTAGGCCCCGGGGTAGAGCCTGTGGACAAGAATAGGTGCAGTTTCTTGAAACAAATGTGAGCCACATGGCCAGGCCCCAGTGGAATTAAAAGTCCCCCTCAATGATCTAAACAGAACACTGAAAAGTCTGTTCTCCATTCTGGTCCCGCCTAGGGTCCCAGTGAGTCATAGGCAGACCAGAGAGGGGAAATGAGGAGTGAGCTGGGCTCTAGGACCCGCGGGATATCTGGAGGCACATGTGCCAGCCTGAGAGGGAGGGATCAACAGCTGAGACCCAGCCAGCTGTCCTGGGACAAAGCGGGTGGGGGACAGCTGGGCTGATGGCAGGAAGAACAGAGCTGAGCAGCCAGTGGGGTGAGGCTTCCTAGGAGTTCCCACCGAATTCATTCAGAACCTCTAGTGTGGGGATCACAGGACTACTGGCACCAGACAGGATCTTCGAGGTCATTTAATACAGGGGCTTTTAAACTGGATTCTGAGGTACTTTCAGGTTCAAGAGCCATGGGCATGAGAGAAGGAGGGGGTCTCCAGCCTCCGGCCTGTTTCTCGCCAACCTAGCTTTGACAAGAGCAGCTCCTTTGATAACATATTGGGATGATATTTTATTCAGGGGAAAAAAGAAAAGGGACAGAGCTTCCACTGCTTTAAAAAAATGTTTGTAAACTGCTGGTCTTAGTCTAATATTCCCAAATGTTAGCTCTTCCTACCAAGTAGCTGGGCAGGCTCTGCTGTTAATACCTCCATGATGCAGAGCTCACTCCCTCCTAGTAGTCACCAGAGAGGCCCACTGGTTCTAGGGTCCGGGAGGCCTAAGTCCTGTAGGGAGCAGGGCTGCCCAAAGCAGAAAGCTGTCAGCAGCTGGCCCTCCACGGAGCAGTCACCTGTCAGGCAGCTCTCAAGGTGTGGCTGATCCAGGGAGGGGAAAGAACTGCCAGTCCCAGAGAGCAGAGCGTGGGAAGGAATTCCACCTGCTCCCTCAGTAGCATCCAACACACCCCACAGCAGTGACTCTCATGCCTGACCACCCTCAGGCTCCAGCAGCTGGAGGATAACTTCAAAGAGTATGGTCTGGAGGGCGATCCCACTGTGATCTGAGGAAGGCACTGCCCCTGGAGGAAAAAGGGCATGGCAGGAGACTGGCCTGTAGCCCCCAGGTTGCTGTAGAGCCAGTCACATACACGGCTCCAAAGTCAAGCATCCCTCCAGGTGGACAGGAGAGGTTATAGGCCAAACCTTACTCTCATCAATACCAAGAAGCATGCTGGGGGCAATCAGCTCTGTTCTTACCCCTCAAGAAACGTGCCCCATGTCCACACACAAGCAGCCAGCTCCTAAACCCAAAAGGAATACTTTTCCTACTGGAAAAAGAGCCCCGATTTCCAAGAAGCAACCCCACCTGTGCCTTCGGTCCTTCCTCCCACTACTGCCCTTGGCCTTACCTTTAGCTTGGCCTGGATCTCACGGGCTTTGCGACGAGCCAGCACCTGGATGTGACTGGAGACCTATAGCAGGAAGAGAAGGCTCCTGTCTCTGCTTCCCAGACGGCCTGTGCTCCCCACTCCCCACCCTGGCTCCCTGACCCTTGGCCCTCCACAGTCCTCAGTCCGCATCTGTGGACTGAATGAATAAAGAACAAATGAAAAGGTAAGTCAATGATGGGCCCTCGGCCCTGCCTCAGACTTTGGCAGTAATTGAAAGGACAGTGTCGGCGCTTTGTTTTCTGTTCTCTGGTCTCCTAGAGAAGAATGGGGAGGGGGCTGCTGACTCCTCAGGAAGGCGAGAGATTTCCTCTCAGGTGATGGCAGCGGGGACCACAGGGAAACTGAACTGTCTATAGCACAGCAGAAGAGACAACCCACCTGAGCCAGCCCCACTGAGAGCCCATGCTTGGTCCTGAAGAGGGCCTGGCCCACCTTGGAAGCAGGCCGACGCTGGATACCTGCCCCCGGGGACCCATGCCCATCTCCCAGGGCCCACCTGCTTCCTGGTGCGGGTCTTCCCTGTCCGGAGCTTGATGTAGCGGGCAATCAGCTCATTCCGACCTGCAGAGACACCAACGGCCGTCAGTGGGAGAAAGACAAAGGTCTGGCAAATAAGAAGGTCTGAGGGGTCCCTTCCTACACCCTCTGTCCACCTTGAGTAGGTACTTGAGGTGAAGACTCTGTAAGTTCCCTCCTACCATCCTTGAATCCCAGGCATCTCCCAGCAGCAAGAGGAAGCTGAGGCCTCACTGAGGGACAGGTAACCTAAGGACAAGGAGGTGACAGGGCCACAGGCCTCCAGCTGGTACACAGCTTGAGAGGCCTCTCAGAGCCTCTCTCCTCTTCCATGCTGGCCACCTCCTCACCTCTGCCCCACGGCAGCCTGACAGCTGCCTCTCTGCTCTCACATTCTCCCGGGACCTTCTGCATACTTGGGAAGCTGCAAGGAAGTGCCTGGGCCTGGGCCCTTCCCCTGTGCAACTCCCAAAGTTCCTACCACCTCCATAAATGAGGAGACCCTTACAAGATGTCTTGTCCTATCTGTGAGCAGCAGGGGCCACAGGGAACATTAGTGCTGAGACATTGAGTGTCCCCAGAGAGGAGGCTTGAGGCCCTTAACTCAGATGAAGAAAACCTAGGCCAACCACATTTCCAGCTCCATGGCTGTCTAGACCAGTCAACAAGTAATATTGAGTGCTCACCCAGCAGCCCAGCTTCCTAGAGGCTGATGTTATGTCCGAGAGATCCTAGAAGTCTCTAAGGAGCCACCCATGTCCTCCTTATACAAATAAGGTTATAAAAAGGGGTTCTCTGTGTTCAAAGAACTCACCACCTAGCTGAGGAGAGACATGTACCCACACAATGGCTCCAGCGCATGCTACGGACGGGCAACAGGCAGTACGTTGAGGACTAGGGGTCAGTTCAGATTGGGTGGTCAGGTAAACCTTCGGCTGGACCTTGACCACTGTAGAAGTAGACTATAAAGAAGGGCATTGGGTCAGGGAGGTGGTGGGGGAGAGGGAGAGGGAGAGAGTTTGAGCAGCAGCTATCTCTTCCTTGCTCCACCTCTGGGGCCAAAGGGTGTAGCCATCAGCCTATTCTGTCCTGCTAAGCCCTATTGAACCTGGAGAACTGTGTCTATGAGTAAGGAACCTGCTGATGCAGGAGGAAGGAAGGACGAGTGGGCTACCTGTCACCTACCTGGATTGTAAAAAGAGAGCACGGCCAATGCCACACTGGCCCCCCAGCTGACCTTTCCCCACTGCCAAGGCTGAATTAAGAGGCCACCCTCAGGAGGTCTTATCTGCCAGAAAGACTTGCTGGCCTGGAAGCACTGGCCTGTCTATGTCAGGGGAAGACGTGGTGGAGGACCAGACCCTGGGGACACCACCTGTGGGGCTGGTCTGCACCTACAACTGAGATCCAGCAAGAAGTCTCTTCTCATAGCTTTCTAGGGAAAGTTTTTCCACAGGCTCCACTGGCAGTCCAATAAACGTCCTACCCTATGTCTTAACTAGTGGCACTCAAGCTGTAGCTATAAAATGCTTTCACTGGCAAGAGAATCTAAGTAATCACCACGGGTGAATGAAAACGGGTCACAGAACTGGGAGTTGGGAGCCAGGCTCTAGCCCAGCATCTCCGCACACGAGCTACGGAAACTCAGCAAGTCTTCTATGGCCCTCCAGCCAGCCTTCTCTCCTTAAGTCTAGGCCCTTTAAAGGTTTTCCCTCCAGATTTTTCCAACCAGATTTTTACAGACTTAGGAAACAGACCTTAACTTTGGCAAAATGAGAGCTCTCTACGAATCAGTTTCCTTTCAGTACAATGCACACACTCTAGGCCCATGTAAGCAGTCCAGTTTAGAGACCAGTCCAGGGGTAAGGAAAATTGCAAGGGTAAAGAGAAGGTTCCTGAGAGCCAGAAGGTTGGTTACAGTGCTGATGGATGTGGTGTTGAAAGGGCAAGCTGGAAAGTCTTGGGGTTGGTGGGAAAGCTGGAGGAACAGGGCAGGCAGGGGACACTTTAGTCTGGAGGGGCCTTAGAGACCATCTGGGATGTTGTTCTAGGGCTCCTCCTCTAGCCCACATCTTGGGCGCAGACAGTAGCTTATCAATTCTCTGTCTGTCTTTTCCTATTAGATTCTCAACCCCTCAGAGGAAGGGGTCACATCACCATTCAGGTCTGCATCTCTAATATAAGGCACCTATTCATCAAATGAATGAATGAGCCCACCAGCAAATCCTGATGGCTCTATCTTCAAACTATATCTAGAATCCAGCCACTCTCACCACCTCACTCTCCATGGTCCACGCTCCCTCTCTTTTCTGGCCTGGACTATGATAAAAGCCTTCTACTTGGATTCCCTACTCCCAATCTATTCTCAACACAGCAGCCACTGTGATCTTATGGCTCCAACATCCTCCAGTGGCTTCCCATCTCCCTCAGATTAAAAGTGTCTAAGCTCCTACAATGGCCTGGGAGAACCACAGGATCTGTCCACCTGGTCCCCAGCTCAGTCCCTCTCTGATCTCATGCCAGCTGCTATCGGGTTTCCTGGCTGCTCCTAGAACATGCCAGGTCCACTCCCACCTCAGGGCCTTTGTGTGTCCTGTTCTCTGCCCCAGAGACCCACATGGCCCACTCTTTTGATGGCTTCTTTGCTCAGATGCCATTGTATTAGGGACATCTTTCCTGAACACCCCACCAACAGCTGAGATCACCTCCCACACACCACTTACTGCCGACCTGCCTTCACTGTTCTCCATAGCATCTAATGTGATCGACATTCTCATTTAGAGCGCTGTGTATACCCCACTCCCATTAGAGCAAAGTTCCTGAGAATAGAAGTTTTTGACTGTTTATTTACTTTTTATACCCTACACCTAAAAACTGCCTGCACATAGTAGGCTCCCAATAAATATTTGCTAAATGAAATATAAGGGAATGCTGATAAAATGTTGTTCAGATGTCCCATCAAGTGTTTTAGCCTTTTAAGGGAAAGGTAAGAGTTAGATAAAGGAAATAGCTCTTAATTCTGATAAGCCCAACAGAATTTTCAAAGTCCTTTCTCATTTGAGCCCTCTATACAGTTCTACATCCAGGTTTTGTGGGACCTAAGCCATCTAAAAATTGGAAGGATCTCTTAGAAGAAAAAGAATGAAAAATACGAATACAAAATTAGATGAAGATCATTTTAGGTTAAGGTAGAGGTGTTTACTTTTTTGATGGTGGTGATGGTTTCACAGATTTATACATCTGTCAAAACTTACCAAACTGTCCACTTAAAATATGTATAGTCTACTGTATGGTGAATGTACTTCAATAAAACTTTATAAATTTAAATTAAAAATAAAAAGTTTAGGAACTTGGAAGGGGCCCGTGCAAGTGAGGGGTTCTGAAGCGTGAGCCTCATTAATGTCAATAAATCTACCTCCTCCTTACAGACAGTCAGGCACTTATACCTGTTTGATAGATGAGGAAACTGAGGTCAGAAAATCTCACCCACGTCATCCACCAGCAGATCTAGGACTAACTGGTTTGAGTCCTGGCTCAGCCACTGGACGTGACACAGTACCTGGCACAGAGAAGATGCCCAGTGAATGGGAAGCCCTCTTGTACCCCTCACCCCCACAGTGCAGTGCTGTTTCCTCTGTGGTGGCTGAGGAGGCCTGTGCCCACCATCAGCTGAGACTCTTACTCCAGACATTCCAGACGATCCATCTCTCTTTTTCAAGGAGCCCCACCCAGCCTTACAACTACCTTTGCCCTGCTGCAGCATTAGAAGCTCTGCTACCAGACAGGCCATCTGGCCCTGGGCAAGAGGCCAGCAGTGGGGCCAAGGAGCCAAACCCACGGGGTCCAAGGCAGGCTCAGCTGGCTGTTTATTTTTCAGGTTGTGCATCTTCACCCCCTTTCTCTGGAGCTGCACCCCCTCTCCCTTGCTGGTTCATCTCAAACGGTTTCCATCCAGTCTTATTCTGCTTATCAGAGCTGATGCCAGCAATTGAGAAGTCCCTCAGTGAGAGTGAAATGCTGGGTTTCTGTGGGTATACTGAGCCGAGAGGGACCAAACAGCTTCCTTCCTGCAACTAGAGGTCCTCCAGAGGTCAACCTGGCCATTCTACTGCCTCCAGGCCAGCTGGCATCTAATCCAGGCTTTACACACACACAGGGAACTGCTGTAGTTTCTTTCACTCTTATAATAATGTTAACAATAATAAACATTTATTGAGCACTTCCTTGTGTCAAGTACCTGTGCAAATAGAGAATGTATACTCTAAGCTTTATTTGCATTCACTCTTTCAATCCTCATAATAGCTCTATGCAGCCGGTATTGTCATCTTCACTCCACAAACACGTAAATCGAGGTACAGAGAGGTTCAGAAACTTGTTCAGGGTCACAGGCCAGCAAATGGCTGAGATTCAAATCCATGCAGTCTGGTTCCAGAGCCTATCTATTAACTACTGCACAGCGTCACTTCTATTTAACATGGGACTCAGGGCCATCTCTCTCCGGAGCAAGGGCTTAGGCCCATTCTAGCCTGAGGAAGAAGAAACTGAGGTCCAGAGAGAGCAAGTGATTTATTCAAAGCCACACAGCTTTTTATTGTCCCAGAGGCCACGAAACATCCATTTCTAAAGCTTCATAACTATCACGCGATGACTGCTTTTTCCTATGGATGCCCTTTCCTGGCTGGGCTGGTAGTTTCCTCTCAAAACACCATTCTGCTCCCCTTCTCTGGATCGATCCCAAGTTCTCTGGGTCTCTGCATGAAGTCAGTCCTTGGTGATGTCTGACTGCCCCTTACCCCGACCCAGGTCCAGGAAGGAAAGCCAGCTACTTGGGCCCAAGAGCCTGCCCACCTTTTGTCACTCTCTCATGGACAGTGAGACTCAGAGCTTATGGAAGCCAACGGGCCTTGGATGCTGTAGACATAGGGAAGATCACGACGATAGAGTCAAGGGTAGAAGTGGACAAAAGTAGGGAGCATGTGCCTAGAGCTCGAGCCCTGAAACCACAGCGACGGCCAGCCAAGAAGAGTGAGGGTGGTCAGAAACAA